ATTTTTTTCAATATTTTTTCACCCAGGATAGGGAAATACAATGAAACATTCTATTTATATAAAAAAGAAAACTAAACTGTGTTCTCAAACATGATTCAAAAGTGGTTAAATAATAAATGTGGAAGAATAAAAAATTAAATAACCAATTTCTAAATAAATGAAAAATGTGATCTTCAGTGATCTGGTTAGATAATGGTAAATAATGATTAAAATCAATAAAGAATGGACTTAAACATCATCATACCATGCTATATTTCCAATATAATTCAATAGCAAAGATTGCAACATGAAAATGGGGTCAGTAATCTTAGGTTATCTATATATACATATGTGTATATGAACTGTACATCCTGAGTTCATCCTTCCACTCAGATGAATTGTGTCATTTTTCATGCTAATTAACTTTGGGGTTCCTTATAATACAAATAGCACAGTGAGAAAATTCTTAAGTGTTTGTATTCTTATATAATTGATAATATTGATAATCCCAACAGTACTTATCATAAAGAACCTGGTATATCAAATTCAGTATTTATGAACTGACAAATAACATTTTACCTGATCCTGTTTTATAAAATGTATACAACCATTATCACTGTTTTACAGAACAAAATTTTGCTTAATGAAATCAAATAACTTTCTTAAATCCTGCTGCTTGAAAGAGTAGGACTCATCAGAATCTCCACATATAATTGCAAAAAGGGTAGAAATTTTGTAAAAGGGCATACTTTTAAGTTCTTTATATATTCTAGTTAGTAGCCCATCAGACCTCCCAAAAAACCCAATCCAAAAATGGGCATCTGAAATGAACAGGCATTTCTCAGACAAAGAAGTACAAATAGCAAATAAATATTTGAAAAAATGTTCCACATCATTCAAGAAATGCACATGAAAACAGCACTGAGATTCCACCTCACCCCAGAGAGAATGGCTGCTATCAAGAAATCAACCAATAACAGCCAGGCCTACGCCTATAATCCCAGCACTTGGGAGGCTGAGGCAGGAGTATTGCTGTGAGTTCCAGACCAGCCTGGGGTACATAGTGAGTTCATGGTCAGTCTCAACTACATAGTGAGACCCTGTCTCAAAAAACAACAACAAAACAAATCACATAAACAAAAACAAAACAAAAAGGCAAAAAATCAACCAATAACAAATGCTGGTGGGGCTGCGGGGAGTGTACAACTACTGGTGGAGTGTACAACCACAGTGGAAAGCAGTATGGAGATACCTCAGAGAACTAGGATTGGAAGTCCCATTTGACCCAGCTATTCCCCTGCTGAGCATCTTCCCTAAAGAATTAAAAGAATCACACCACAGTGATATTTGTGCACCCATGTTCACAGCAGCATAATTTAGAATAGCTAAACTTGGAAGCAGCCAAAAATGCCCATCAATGCGAGACAGGGTAAAGAAAAATTTTTTATAATATGGAATACTACTCAGCCATAAAAAATAAGAAATTAGAGGCATTTATAGCTAAATGGATGCACACTGAGGTGTTACTCTTAAGTGATATAAATAAGACACGTGTAAATACTGAGTAGTTTCACTAGTGTGACAAACGAAGTGTAAATAAGGACTAAAAGTTATAATAGATACTGTAAATAGGAAGAAAAGATTCAAAGAAGTAGGGGAAAGGAAAGAAGGGAATGGAATTAATATGAGAATGAAACAAATGAAGTGTAAATAAGGACTAAAAGTTATAATAGATACTGTAAATAGGAAGAAAAGATTCAAAGAAGTAGGGGAAAGGAAAGAAGGGAATGGAATTAATATGAGAAAATGAAACAAATGGAAACAAAGTCTTTGTAGATAGGGAGGGAGGGAGAGAAAGAGGGAGGGTTTGAAGGGAGGGCAGAGGAATGGTGAAAAATAAGAACCAAGGTTGATTGTATAAAGGTACAATTGTCAAAAATGAATGCCATTATATTGTATACATTAAATGCAGCAATCAAATTTTTAAGAAGGCATATTTTGTAAAGCTGTATAAAAATCCATGGCATTAGACTTGGGTACATTTGGGTACAAAGAAAACATATTCTACTAGGTGATAAGACTTTATATTCCTTGAGAAACTGTATTAGAGTCCAATATTTAGAACCTGGAATTTTAGTTTCCATGAAAGCAGTAAAGATAAAGAAGGCAAACATGGAAGAAAGATTAGGGAAATAAAACAAAGTTCCTTTAGTAGCAAACCTTTGGTTCTCAATTTAAAGATGCCTTTTTGGTTATGTCCCTCCTATGTCCACACTTCCTAGCCTGATACTTCTTAATGCTTGCTTAAGAAATAGCATTTTTCTACCATATACTACGTGATAGTTCATTGTAGTGTCAACTTTAGTAAGACACATTTAGTGGGTTAAGGAATTAATGGAGTACAGTTCTGAGTGTGCCTGGGTGATTGACTTACTGAAAAGAAAAGACCTACCCTGGATGTGAGTGGCAGCAACCAGTAGCTTGGATGGAATAAAAATGAAAAGAAGGAAGTCTGTTTTTTTCTTCTTCTTCTGCAGAGGAGCCCTAGTCTTCACCATTGCCCTCAAATATTTGTTCAGGCTTCCAATGCATACACTTTAGCTTTCCAATGCAGACCCCTTGTCTTTCCTAGAGGAATTTAGGCCCTAATTTGTAAATTCTTTATACATTTATATATACATATATTATTGTTTGTTCCTCTAGGGAATTCTGATACAATATAGAATCACTTGCTGTGTATCTGATGTGTGTGTGCGTGTGTACACCTGAACATGACCTCCAATGGATCTACTCAGTGATCTACACTATGTAGAAGACACCTAATCAAGCTTTTTGCTCAGAGCCTAGAGAAATCTCTGAAATGTCAAAGACAGTGAAGTTAAAGACCAGGGATAAATATTCCTTGAGTTTAATGAAATTGAGTTATAATGGTAGAGTAAAAAATGGAAAGAAGAATTGCATCATATAGTAGTAAAATTGGACTTTATATTTTAATACAACCTCTTTTTCTTTATTTGTCTTTATTTGATGAAAAGTGAATTTACTTGGTTTTGTTGTGTAATTTTTTAAATGTAAGACAGTACTAGTGTTTTGAGACACATCCCTGAATTTATTTCTTGATATAAAATAAGTAATACTTTTTTCTGAAGTGTCTTTCAGGTTTAAGGAAATCAAATAAAGTAAGCTAATGTATTGGGGTAATGCTGCATGAAGGCGACCATCTAGTTGGAAAACATGGCAATTCATGTAAATATCACAAAAGCTGAAATTACAGCTATGAAAAGTTGAACACTACGATGAAATAGAGAACAGGAACATAGATAATACCCAAGGAGAGGAAAGGTAGAAAATAAATAGAGCTATAACAGCAGACTAGAGATAAGTAATAGCTTACTTAAATTGGAACCAAGAAAAACATCTAGCTGATTTGTGAAAGTAGAAAAACAAAGGGAAACTCAGAATTGGAAGCCTAAGCAAATGTGAAAGACATTAGATTTCCAGGCTCCAGAAATCCCCAATGCCTATTTAGGCATCATCAAAACATTCATATTTTACCCACTGTGGAAGAACAAGATGCTTATATTTCCCAAATTCCTTGCTGCCTAGGCTATGGGACCTGATTCTGTCCAGTGAGATATGATAGGAACTTTCTAAGTGAGGCTTCTTGAGAATTGCCTTTTAACTCACTGAGCTAACAATACCTTATGTCTTTTAACCCATTTCTTCTTCTGACCTATAATACAAACACAATGACTGAGGTACAAGGGCCAAAGAAAATCATAAAGGATGAGAGCAGAAAATAAGTAATTTAGGATTTTTTTAAAATGGCATTCTTGAGCAGTATCTCTATCTCAGACTGTTTTTGAGGTGATTAAAATATATTTCTATGAGTTTCTGCCACAATTGGTAAAGTATGGTTATTATTGTGCCAAAACAATTCATACTCAACTCAGAAATCCCAGACTGTTGTGGGAGAAAACTTTAGAAATGTGAATTTAATATCTTCAGAATACTTAGAGATGTGAGGTTGCTATTAATTTGCATATAAATAGGGAAGTATTACTGAATGTTAAAATACACTGATGTTAATTACAAATTCAGTGTAAGAGCTGGAAGATAAAGATGAGGAAAGAAATATCCTGGCTCCAATGAAAGAGAAACAAGAGCAAATTTTAAAGAAAAACTAGAATACAAGCTTAAAAGGATATTGGTAAGGACAAAACTAGTCTGCCTAAAACAAAGAGACTTTATAATGACAGGCAGTAGTTTGTTCTTCTGTCTTAAGAAATAATCCTATGTAAGCCTTTTAGATTGGCTGGAGGCTGTGTTCTATTAGTCCTGGTAAAACATAAAGAGTATTATCTTGCTCAAGACAATAGTTTTAGGGTACTGTACATTATCAAAATATTTAAAATCAGGGATGCTCTCAAATTTCTGTTGTCATATAATAAGTATTTATCATGTGTTTTTATATCATGCTGAGAACTTTAAATTTATTTGGTAATTTAACAGTAAAAATAATTTCTCTGAAATCTACTTAAGTTCACCGATTGTTAACTTTCCTCTTCATCTGCCAGACATGAGGACCACATATTTTGATTAGTGATATGGAGCAGAGCCCTCTGAACTGGGCGTTTGGTGACTTGGGTGACAGGAGTTACACCTTGAACTTTTATTTAATACAACTTGGCCAAGCTTTTTTATTTTCCTTTTTATTGAGTTTATTGGTACATTTTAGGTATACAGTACAGTCACATTCATTATTGGGATGGTCAAGCTTTTAATATCCCTTTGCTCTGGTTTTCTCCTTGTGAAATAAAAAGTTTATGTCAAAAGATCTTCAAAGCCCTCTCTAAATCCAAAGTTCTGCTTGAAGCTGTTCGAATTTTTATAAATATTTTGTTTTAGGTTTTGATTGAGTCAGTCATTACTCTATATATCACATTGTACCTCAAAAATATGTGCAAATGTTATACGTCAAACAAATTCTCAAGTTTCTTGGGACCTAATTTACTTTACAGAAGCAGTTTTTCAAGGATCTATGCCACTAAATAAGGAACTACCACTAAGAGAAGAGGTGGACTACAGCAGCCAAGGAACCACTGTAGGAGAGGTACGGATGGACTCTCAGGATGGCAGAAAATGCGCTCTAAGATGGTAAGTTTTTTTTTCTTTTATTATTGAGTTTATTGATATATTCTAGGTATACAGTACAATTACATTCATTCCTGGGATCTTGTACCTTTACATGATAGGTCTTGGTTCTCATTTTTTCCCCTTGTCAATGAGAAATTAGAGTCATTCATAGGAAAATGGATACATTTTGAGGATATACTCCTAAGTGAAATAAATAAGTCAAACGTGTAAATACCGAACAGTTTCTCGGGTGTGAAAAACTATAATAGTATTCAAGATCCTAATGGGATAATTAAGATGGTAAGTTCTTAATCCTACAAAGGAATAAGTCTGCTGGTAAAGGATTTGTTGCTAAGAGATTAATTTTGAAATAGGGAACTAAAAGAAAATAACATTTGTGTTTCTTTGTATTCTAATACATTTTCCATCTATGGTGTGCTCCATTTGAATTAGAAATTTTTACACTGAAAACTAGTATGGGAATAAATAAAGACATTTAATTTTAGTAGATATGAAAGGCTATAGAAAAGTGAATAACTGACTAAATCATTGTGCTTATTTATGTTGAAGAGCATTTTTCAGTTTTATATGCTATAATAGAAAAAAATCAGAAAATGTCTTGACGTCTACAATTCTAAAATTGAAGATTATACAGACAAGATTTATCACATACGTATAAAGGAATACTGTTCATTCTTTAAATATTTCGATTTTGGAATGTATATATAGGCTGCAAAACACTCATAATAATTTGATGTGAGAAATACTCATCATGCATCCACATAATTTCCAATTTTTATGTATCAAAGCACACATGATCTTCAATTTTTAAATTTTACCAAGTGGCATCCTGTGTTTAAGGAGCAGTTGCCAGGATTTAGCTCAGTTGTGCGGCCCTTGCCTTACAAGATCAAACCAACATCCTCAGAAATTCAGAGCTGATTTCTATAGGATCAAGTGATCCTGAGAATTCTCTGACACGGAAAGAAAGCTGAGGTTTGATTGCCAGGTGAGCATTTGTTCGTCCAAGGTCCTGCCAAAATGGCCCTCAGTTTCACTTCCATCCATCTGGTTCATGTCCAGACATCCCATCCCCTCCGTGGCTTTTGCTTTATGTCCTTGATGGAAATTTATATGTCAAAATCAATCTTCATCACACGTCTGAATGCTGTGCTTGGGATCATGTAAAATATTGACCTCACTTCATTCCCAACTCGGATCTCATTCTAACCCCCCAATATGGAGATTATTAATAGAATAGTCTCAGACATCTACGAAGTTCCTACAGAAGGGTTTGAATGACGCTGTTGCTATGGATATTCTGAAATCGGTTGTAAAAATGATATACCGAGATTCTGCTACTAAGGGCAGAGAAGATAAGCTTTGTGTGACACAGAAGGTATCAGTGGCATACAATTTTATCTTATAAATCAAAAAGAACTATCGTTTTTTTTTTTTGGCTTGGAAAACAGAAAAAAGAACACTGCTCAATGCAGCAGGAATTGGAAGTGAATCGTCTCTTCCACTTGTCTGCGGCTTGGTCAGTAGAACAGACAGTGTACTACACAGTATATGGGGATGTGTGGGAAGGTTTCATGCACCCCCCTTTGGTGGAAAATCAGAGAGGGAGATGGAGGGAGGGAAGGAGGCAGAGAGAGAGAGAGAGAGAGAGAGAGAGAGAATATGAATGAATCTGTAACTCTGCACCATTATGAAATTGAAATCAGAGGGCTTTGAATCTTGATCTAGGAATATACCCCATCAAGAGTCTGTTGAGGAATGTGGCAGATATACATTGTGATTCTCAAATCTCTCTTTAGGAGAGTACTTGCCACCTACCTTCAAGGACTATTGGTCACCTGCCCACCTCCAACTCTGAGGCACTTGAGTGTCTGCCTCAGCTTTTGAACAGAAATAACAACTAAGGATGCCCCACAAACAATGTCTGAGCAAAGTGACATTAATAGGCAATGTGAGAATCCTCTGGGCTGGCAAAGGGTATAACAGGTCTGGATTGCGGCCAGATAGGAGTCCCAGCCAACTCTGTTTCCTTTCTCTTCACCTCTGTGAGTTTTATTTCCCAATAAACAATTTGCATTTCTATTCCGTCTCAGCACCTGCTTCCCTAAGATTCCAACCAGTTAAAATAATTAAGAAGTGTGTGGAACGATTTATGTCTCACTTCTTTCTGATACCATGGGTGAGAAAAAGTCACCAAGTGCCTCAAAACAAAAACTGGCAGCAGTGAAGCACAGAAATGGTCTGTGGGGATGTCTAAGTTAGTCATGGGCAATGTTCTGTCGGTTATGTACACTTATGTACCCGTTTTTATTTTTTTTTCTTTCTTTTTATTGAGGTTATTGGTACAATCTAGGTATACAATACAATTACATTCATCATTGGGATCCTGTACCTTTACATAATAGGTCTTGATTCTCATTTTTCCCCTTGTCCCTGCCCTCCCTTCACCCTTCCTCCCCTCCCCATTTACAAACACTTTATTTCCATTTTTTCAGTTTCTCATATTTTTTTCCTCTCCCTTATTACCTTTCCCCCACCCTTCCCAGTTTCGCTACACCTTTAGCCCTTTACTTCCTATTTCACATTATTAATTGTCTCAGGATCCTGTGTACTGTTATAGTTTTTCACACCAAAGAAACTATTCGGTATTTCAGTTAAAGAAATCTCTGTATGAACATTAAAAATAGGGAATCCTAAAATAAAACTACAAAGGAAAGTAAAAGAGAAAAGGCAATGATGTAACATCAAAATAATCCTTAATTCTGGAGATGAAAATGGTCCCTGAACATATTTAAATTGTTTCTCCCTCTTATAGTCTTATCTTATTCTTTTTTCATTATTTAGAGAATACTTTATTAGTTTCTGTAATCAAACCCACGTAGATATGACCTTACATATTTAGTACGATGTGTTACCCCTGTACACAGGGAAAAAATAAAAATAAAAAATAAAAATAAATTAACATTTCTAGACCAATATGGTTAGTCCTTTGCGTGATGGTGAACCTTTGAGAGCTTTTAATGATACAAAGAGCCGGTGGCATGCATAGGCTCACCACCACTGGGCTAGTGGATGATTATTGGCTCTGTTGGATTCTTGTGAGATATTCCAGAATAAGTTGAACAGGAGGGAGATTCTTGGTACAACATCCTACATCCTGCCATTTTTTTTGTACCAGGGATTGAACTCGGGTCCTTGCACTTGCAAGGCAGGCCACGGAACAGCTGAGCTAAATCCTTGGCCCCCTGCCATTCTTATTTCTTGGAATTAGGGATAAAGCCTGGGGTTTGGGGCTGAACCATGTTCCTAGATTTGTTTTGATGTTTTGAGATGTGTCACTAAATCATGAAGTGCCTGGAATAGGCTCCACTTTGCTGTGCTTCTGCTTTGGCTTCTCATAGCGCTGGGATTATAGGTGTGTGCCACCATGCCAGATTCCTGTATTATGGTTTTTTTGGTGTTTTTATATTACCTTGAATTAAAATATTCTTCCAGACAATTCAGATATTATGCATATTTTACCTCAGTTTCTCTAATATTTAATTTATGTCAGTTTCCATATTAACATTAGTAATTTTTCTAGACATTATTGTAACTGTCAACATTACTAATATATTTTATGTTTATATTTTATTTTATTACTAGGTGAACAATTTAAAGAGAGATATGTAGTCACAGACACATTAGTATCCATTAGATCCATTAGTATCCATTTTACAATGCATTTAAAATACTACAGTAGACTATAATCCTAATAATTTTAAAATCCATCCATATGTGATAGGAGAATAATGCAATTTGACTCAAAAGTTTAGAAAAGCATTCAAATTCAAAAAGCATAATAGATTCAACATAAAATAATTGCTACCACAAATAATAAATTGAATCATAATTAAGTATAAAGGAATCAATGGTCAGGAACACTTTTAAAGTCATAATTTGAACCATAAGTAAATTGAAAAAAGCTCTAGGATTTTACAGTGTTTATAATAAATGCTTTTTTAAGTACTGAATTTCATTACTTATTTGGTTAAATAATTACTGTATTAGGGGTAACTATTAAATTCCATTTTAATATTCTATCAAATGGACCAGATTCCATTTCTCTATTACATTATATGAAAGATGAAGAAAACAGAATATTTCCTCTCAGGAGTTGTATTATAAAGGCTAAAATTTTTTCAATATGTTTCCTTCATGGAAAGAAATTTGAAATTGCTCATTTAAATAAATGATGGCTACAACGAAAAGACTGAGGTGGTGTCATAGGAATGAAATAACGTAATGTGTATCGTAGCACTTTTACTGACACATTTACTTGGCACATGTTGCCTCATATAATCATTTATCTTTTAATGTACAATTCTACCTTAAAAATTATAGTAATGATCCACTGAGGTACAGAATTTGTCGTATATCAAGGCCCATTAAAGTTCCCAGTTCATAACAGAGAAGAAAAAGAGTGGAGTTTGAGATGGTTATGGTTATTTTGCTTATTTTTATTGTGGCGGAGGTTAATAAACTTTAGGTAAAGGTACTTGAACTTGATGTAACTTCCGAGAGCCATAGAGAAAGGGATTTCATCTGAAATAGAACTGTGTGAATTATTGTCAGTTTAAATATGTGGGAGTTTATCCATGTCAGTTTCTATTATAATTTTTAAGCTACAGCATATGACTTTTCATTTCTTCCGATATTACTTAACTACCCAGTATGCACTGATCATTGTGTCAGGCTCAGGTGATTAAAAGTTCAAATCATGCATGGCTTTTGCCTCAGGTTGCCGGTACACAGTTCTTTCACGATAGTGGTATGAAACATTAAGTGCTATAGTTGATGTATGGTACTGAAACTACGGAGTAAATGTGGAGAGGCAAATACCATTTTAGATTGACAGTAAATGCATCCCCGGCGGGTAAATTGTTAGTGGTCCTGGAAAATAACCAGCCTAGCCTCGTGAAAATGAAAAGGATGTTTCCTGAGAGAATTCTACTGTGAAA